GCAGCAACAAAAAGTTTTCATAGACTCAGTTGACATATATCAATAACCTACAAGGCTAAAATTCTATGCTAATTCACTTATGGAACCTTCTACTACCCTCTCTGGTCAGAGCTCACACTCTTACTCCATCACAAGGACGCGATCGATCGCGTGTTTCCTCGGCCCTCATTCGAAGCATACGGGGTCGTTCTCTTGGCTGTTAGTGTTTTTTGTAGTTACCGTTTCTGTCGAATTTTCTAGGGATTCAGCGGCGATATTATGGCCATTGGAATTTGTCAGCCTGTATCAGTGGAGGGATTCAGCTGATTTGCACCAGTTTGGCAGAACCGAGACCTAATTTTTTGTTGAATTCAGTGAACAGGTTGTTTAAATGGCATTTATTATCAAGATTCTCTCTAAAATGGTGGCTGGGCAGCTGCCAAACGTGGAAATCACAAATGTACATTCCTTACTCTTTTTTAATGTTCGTCTGCACATCACCGTATTCAAAGAGCCCTTAGTCACGTTCAGTCATAGGTATGAAAATTGGATGGGACTATGCTTGCAATATTTACTTATTCATTTAATAAATCTCATTATACTTTTGGTGAAGTACTACATTTTCATTTCCTTGCATTCGTTAGTTTAGTAAACAAACATATAACCTAAAGAGAAAAGTGCCTAACAACCAAGGGGTGACACATTATCATTCGTTTCAGCTTTGTGTTATGTTCCAAAGTCCTATGGGATGTTACGAGTGAATTAGAGGTGAAATGTCAGAACAATTGCTATAAGTTCAGCAGAAGTGGAAAGGGGCTTGTCAAAGATGAACATAGAATACTCGGAGAAGAGAAATCTGTTTCTAATGTAGCAAGCAAAATAACTACTGTTTAACTGGCCTATCTCTAAAGGGATAGGATTCTACTCTTACAGTGAAAAGATGGTTAAGGATAAATCACACAGTCAATGATGCTTGGATAAAAGCAAAGTATATTGCAAGTGAGGACCCCAATCAAGAAGCCATATAGAAATAGCTTAAATAGCAGTTTTTAGGGTTTTTTTTGGCCAGGTATTATTTAGTATTTTTCCATTAATATTCTAAAACTTATAACAGTCTAGTTTTGTGTATCTCTTTTTATCCTTATTTAAATATTAACTGTATGGAATAATAAACTACCTTTCAGTATATCTTTTTTATACTTAAAATGGTCATTAGGGCAGTGAACCAGTGGTTAAATGATTTGAATCCCACCACTAGCCTATATCAATAACTTTGCTGAGAATGAAGTAATTAAAGGGGGAAAAAAAGGAGAAAAAATTTAAAAGGCTTCTGCTCATTTACTAATAACATTGTAATTCAATATAGAGTTTACAAAATGATTTTATTGGTAGTATTCATATGCTCTAAGAAATAATAAATTTAAGCAATTTACAACTACCTTTAGCATATGCTATTCTGCGATTTAAATAGAGAATAACCTTTACTAAGGATTCCATATAGTCTTTTACAAGAGGTGGTCTATAAGGGGGTGACAACACTGGATCACCACATGTTTGAATCTATCCACTGCACGGAGGGACTCCTAGCCCTGACTGACCCTCTCCTTCACCAAACATAATACCCTCCTCCTGTGATTGATCCCTCCTGACCATGTGTCCAGAGCAAGTGAGTCAGGCAATGTTCTGTTGTGATCCATAAGGTTTTATGTACATATTTACACTATTATGTGATCTATAAAAAATTCAAAAATGGGTCAAGTAGTTAAATATTTGACCTATAGGAGCACTGGTGGTGTAGTGGTTAATCACAAGGTCAGAAGTTTGAAACCACCAGCCACTCCATGGGAGAAAGATGAGGCTTTCTACTCTTGTAAAGTTACAGTCTTGGAAATCCTCAGGGGCAGTTCGACCCTGTCCTATGGGGTAATCGTGGGTCAGAATCAACTTGACGGCAAAGAGTTTTCTTTGTTGTTGCTGCTGTTTCAGCGGAGCTAGAGGGTCCCTATGAATCCGGATGGGCTCAATGACATTGGATGTGGTCTGGTTTAAATATTTCCAGGCATGAAAAAAAAGAAGCAGTGGAAGTTTATGGTGTAAGGCTGGTAGGAATTTGTGAAAAGAATGTACAGCTTAAGAGAAAGCAAGGTGGAGCTGCTCCCTCACCTCAGGCCAGCCACCTCCTCTGGACCCACAGTGGAAGCTCAAAAGGATGAATATAGAGGAGTGGGGGGACACTGTCCTGATGCTCCTGAGGAGGTGCCAGTAGTCAGGGAGTTGTCCACAGATGCAGACTTAGCCCTGCAACTGACCAGCACCGGGAAAGTTCCTCTCATGCTGATAGCTTCTGGTCTGGACTTGCCTTGAAGATTAGGTCTTCAGTCTGGGGAAAGCCCCAACGTTGTATGACTCCGTCTCATTCACCCTTTGCCCCAGAGCTTCTTCTGGCCCTCAGTTCACAGGCTGACAGGCTGGAAGACTTACAAAGGGGAATGTCTTTGGTGGCCCTGACATTCCAGAGTGAAGAAGCCGGAACTGGTTATCAGCGTTGCTTTGACAACCGTGGGCCGCATGAATAACATGGAGGAGGTGAAAGGTCATATGAGGCACTGGTAACCGTGCATAGTAAAGCCGCTTAAGGTGTCTGGAGTATGTACTTGAGACACATTAATTGGATAGTTTGATAGGTGATTTTCTTTTCACCCCCAAGTGACCTCCTATTAATTATTTGTAGTCTATGGTTGGAATGTTGCCTAGAAGATTATGACATCCAGTACTGCTCTTTAACGCCATTAAATCTGTGAAGTATATGCAGAGATTGTGTGGGATCTCTAC